CCCCGGGAGGTCAGAAAGGGCCCGGAGGGATGCAGAGCCCATGGTCTCGGGGCTGCAGCGGGCGCTGAGCGGTGCCCAAAGGCTCTTTTTGGGATCCCAAAGCCTGCTGGAGGGGGGTCTTGTTTTCCCCTCTCCCGCCACCTTCCCAGCCCACCCTGCCCCGCCTGCTGGGGCTGGCGTTCATAACCCTGTTATTTTAAGTTCCTCTCTGCGCCGGGGTAGATACGCTTTCAGACACATCCCTATTTCAAAATCTGAGGAAAACAGGCATTTTCTGATTCATTTTTTACACTTTTCTCCCCTTCTTTTCCCACCCTTTTATGAGCCAACGTGGATCTGGAAATTTGGGGGGAAAATGTCGGACAGGGAAGAAAAAGCTGAGTGGGGTTTCTTTTTTACCTGTTACTTTTACTCTTTTGCAGTAGGGGCACCCCATGAGCTGAACTCTGGTATCGAATCACCAGCTGATTTCCCAGGTTTAAAATACAGAAATTCAATTTTGCTGTTAGCAAATACAGCTGTAAAACTAGACGTTTTATTAGCCCGCTGCTTCTCATCTTGCAGCCCTTTGGACGTGAACGGTTCCGACGGGACTTTAGAAAAGCACAGCTTGGAAATATTTTGGTCTGAAATTAGAGCAATCTCATACGGATGCATTTGGTCATCTTAAAAATGGCAACTTTACAAACATTGTGAGTGGAGAAGGGAGTTGGGAGGAGCAGCGTGACATGGGCTTGGCAGTTTGTGTGCCTGTGGTCAGGGTCTAATCTTCTTTAGCCTCAGAAAAAAACTGGTTTAGCCTCCTTAGCAGGAGTTTGCAGGGGAGAAATAGGAATAGGGATTGATAGATATTAAACTAGTTTGAAATTCAGGCTGGTGGTTAAGTGCCAGATTTATGTACGTTGGAAGGGGGTGATTCTGGTGGTTTTGAACAGCAGAATCAAGCTCTTCACCTGGAATTGCAGTGTATAATACTCTGTTTTGGGTTTTTCCTTCAGGGACCTAACACAATCGTGATCTGCATGGTCATCTTATTGAACATTGGTCTGGCCATCCTATTTGTACATTTTTTGACATGATGTGCCCCTCGGACAAGGTAAGACGAGCAATGAGATTTTATTCTCAATTCATAGACTTCGCTGTGGACAGTTTAGGGTTGACTGGCTTTATTGCCAACGCAAATCATTCAGTGATGGATGCCCTGGCGATGGAAATGCGTGGGCATTTATTCAACAGATGCAATTGCCTTGCATTGAGCGTTGAGATTCTCAGTTACCCCTTGTCTGTTCCAAGAGTGTGGAGTAATTTCAGTGGATAGTTCTCAAGTCTTTTTGTAAAATCATTTCCTCAAAGTTAAAAAATTGAACTGTGTTGATTGGATACAGTCCCACAGTATAGTTTTGCTTTCCCAGTTGGATGGACGTGATTCATGGAGACTTCCAGTGCAAGAATGTGTGATGTTAAATTTGAAATTTGTTTTCTGCAAGAAACACTTTCAATTTGCTGTTCCGTGGCTGCTGCTGCCAGGTAACTCGTGCATTGCAGTATTTCTTGGCACTCAGCCCAGCAAGAGGCAGGAACACAAAGAGAATGTGAAACTGAAGTTTGCAGCTCTAATTGCACCAGTGCTAGTCTGCTGCTGTTGTTACGTAGCTGTGTTACTAAAGGTAAATATGAGCTGCGATGGGTATCTGACTAAGGTTAAACTGGTGCTTGCTCAGGTCTTCCACTTGAATTGGGATGAGGGTTTGCGTTTGGATTTGGTGGCAACAAAATCTTGTGAGGTTTCTTGTGCCCCCGGGGTTCCTGCACACAGGAATGTGTCATGGGTTTGCTCAAGAATTCTGTTGCCTTGGGCTCAAATACTGCAAAAAACCCCATCAAGGCTGAACCTGACCCTTGGGCCTCACGTGAACATAATGTGAGAGGTTCCTCCCAAGCCTCTGTGAGGGTATCAGGCTGCCTTCCTGGGGCCTACTGGGGGATAAAACTGCTCTGCTGAGCACTGCTTTCTGTTGTGTTATTAGTCCCCACTCAGCCTGCATAGGTGAAAGCCTTGCAGACAGCCGTGATTATGTCGGTCATGTGTTTTGCTCCCCCTTGACTCTCCCGTTCATCTCTGTCTGGGACAGGCGTTGCTGCTGATGGAGACCACAGACCTCGGCAGGGATTAAATCTCAGCCGCCTGGAAACACCTAAGAGGAGGACTTGAGATCCTAAGGTTGCACTGCAAACATGAACCTTAAACAAAAGTGCCTGAAGATCAGTTCAGTCTCCCTGCTCCCAGGCTGTGGCTGGCCTCTGCAATCTACCAAGGAAAAGCCAGGGTTTCTGCAATTCAACCTCCTTCTCTTCTTTGTATAAAATAGCAGTTGCCTTAAATTGTTCTCACCAAAGCCATCAATTGTCCTGTCATGCCAGGGATGAGGGATTTATCTGTAGCTGTAGGAAAACGAGTAAGAAAGTCTCATCTGTTCACACTGATGTGTTTTGTAACTCCCTTGGTTGACTCAGTGTCAGAGATTTCCCGAAGAATGTCATCCATGGCATGGAGATGAAGCAATACACAGCAACCAAAATGACTCATGAGAGCCGCGCCATGGCTAGGGGTGGACAACATCGCCCTCCATCCTCAGAAATCATCCAAAGGGACGAACAAAAAGTCTTTCCTTTCCCCATTGCCTGGAGTCGTTTTCCGCGTATGGAGGACTGAGAGGGGGAGCAAGTTGAAATCGGGCTTGTTGAAGTGTAACCAGAGTCCTGCCCATGCCTGCTGACGTGCCACGGATGGGGGCCGTGGGCTGCGGGGTGGGGAGTGAGGGACTGGCTGATCCGAGGCTGTTCGTGCATGCGGGGGGTGCTACGGGTGGAGATGGTCCCGTCTCAGGACCAGGCACCATCCGAGCGCTCTCCTGCCACCAGCAATGCTCCATGCAGAAGTGTCTTGCAGCGGATGACTTCCCGCTGTAACAGGAAAGGAAATAGATGTGCTGAATTTGTCCCTTTACTCATTTTTTCTATGAAAATGGTGCGAGTTACAATGAGAATGAGGTACTTACTGAAAAATACCTCCATGCGCCCACAGGTTCCTCCCCTTCGTGCGCTGGGCTGCAGGGGGACTCCTGTGCTCTTTCATTGCAACAGAGTGAACAGACTTTCCAGCCAGAGGATGCAGGGTGGCTGTCATGGGAGAGGTTATGTTATTCCCGAAAGGAAAAAGGTGCAGAGACCTGAGTGGCTCCAGTTCTTTGGGTGTTAGGCTCAAAAATACACAGCAGCCAGACTTTCAGCAGTGGTAGAGTACAGAAGGGCAATTCTAGCTGTTTTTCTTTTGTGCGAGGCTTAGAGGCCTGGGCGATTTGCACCGAATATTCCCAAAGCTGCAAGAGAGAGTGACCTTTGGAAGGAGATGTTTCCACCGTGATCTGCTCTGATCCTCAGCAGTGCGAGCTTAGAAAGTCAGCACAGATGAAGTTACAGTTTAGTGTGAGGCTGAGTGCTTGGACATGTTTCTTCCTTCTTCTAAAAGCAATATGTATTTTCTGTCCCTTTTTAAGATAATCGGAAATGTTATTTATAGTCGGTTGTGCACCTCTGTGTATCCTGAAGTCCCACAGCACAGGACTGGGTGGGAAAACCTGAGGGACTGCAAAGAATGGGGAAATGATGGTTAAGGAAAAAAAACAGATGCCCAGTCTGCTCCAAAGGTCAATCTGGAAGGATTTCAGAGATGGGGTGGCAGACAGGCAGGGGTCTACACTGACTGGAGACACAGGGCAAAACCTGCCTAATTTATCTGCTCTAATTATGGCACAAGAGAGTGAGAATAATTCAGTACTTTTCTTTGTGAACCAAGTTTATTTTTTAACCTTATTCAGCTCAGGAACGTTGCCACAGTAGCAAATACGTGGTGTTAACTGTGGGAGAAGTGAATGTGATCCCTTCCTAAAAGCCATGTGGCTGTACCAGTCCTGAGAAAGCTGTGCAGCATCATCTACACTTCCACAGAGCATAGTTTAGTAGCAATTTGCTTCTTTCTTTCTTTCTTTTCTTAAGTATAAATGTATTGCAAACCCCAGGCTCTGCTGCCTTCGACGTTTTATCTCCGTTTGCTGGCATTCACTTGCCAGCTCTGCAGTTTCAATATGCCAGCTGCTTTTTTTAACCACCAAGACGATTTCCGTTGAGAGACCTGAGGGGCTTTTATTTATCACTAAGCACAAAAATGGATCTTTTTCAACAGTGCTAAGGTAATCCCCCCCCGCCCCCATTTTTTATGCATGTGATGCGCACTCGGTAATGTGCTTTCCTCCTAGTAACAGTAACCTTCTGAGAAAAGTAGGTAGATTTGCTTTTATGTGACGTATAAATATATCCATATTGCACTGAGATATGGATATATATACACATATATATAGCCCCTTAGGGATTTCGTTTTCTTAGATGCAAAATAACAGATTTACCTCAAACTGCATGCTTTCAAAACTGACTAGGATATTGTGTTATACTTTTCAGGTCTTACAAAGATGCAGATACATTTCACTCTTCACACAAAAATGCCTTCATCACAGATTTTACAAGCTGTTTACTACAATCTGTGTACTACTGTCCGGAGTTTTCTGTCGGTTGTTCTGCTGGATTACGTGCAATAATAAACAGTTATCTGCTCACTGTATCCATGTGGATCTTTGCGGGGGAATCTCCAGGTTTCTTTCTGGGTTGACACGCTCATTCCAGTCTTACAGGAGAGCTCATCAACATGTGGTGCAGAATTTGCGTGGTGGCACCTGAATGGTTTTTAGCTTTCCCCTAATACCTATTTTAAAATCTGCATTTTTGTTGATAGGGAGGTTCTTTGCAAAGAGAGTTGTTTTCATTTACTGCTTCTCGAAAGTTTGGTGCCAGATGTTTGAGGACATCTCCAGCTCTCCGAGCAACCATCGTGCTGGCCTCCCCCCGAGGTTGCACGGGGCCGGGCGGAAAGGCGGCTCGCTGGCCCGAAGCCTGCCTGGGTGATGCAGACGGCCGCTGACAGGTCCCTTCGCAGCCTCCCGACCCCAGGGCTGCTGCCAAGTTTCTTCCAGGCTGTGCGTCACTGCCTGCTCCTCCGGCGCCATGGTCCTTCTGGGTTTGGAGAGGGGTGATTCTCCTCTACCCATGGCCATCCTCTTGCTCAGCCTCTTGAAAAGGCCGAAGTGAGAGGAAAGCCAGGCACGAGGGACAGGGAAATGGCAGCCCGGGAGAAGAGTGATTTATGGGGGAGGATGGGAGAGCAGAGCCCAAGAGCCAGCCAGGGGCAGCGGGGCCCGGGGGCCCGAGGAATCCGGAGTAGCTGAAACCTTCAATCCCTTCTCTATTTCTGGAGTGTCTCACATGAGCAAAGCCGGGCTGTGCAGAGGGGCTGGCGGGACGCAGGCTCAGCCTCCGTGGGCAGCAGGGTCTCCCCCGGCTTCTGCGGGACACAAGGGGTCTCATGGCGGAGGATTTCATGTTCTGGTGGAGACTTAGGGAGCTGAGTTTGGTGAAATGATGGCTTTACTCTCCTCTGGGCTTGTTTTGCTTCTGGTATGGGAGGAACAAGCAGCATCTCATTCATCCAGTCTCTGGGAGGAGGCTGGGGGCAGCAGTGTAACCGGAGCCCTTTGCACCTCATAAATCTCAGGCTGATGCATGGAGCAGATCTTTGGCCCATGTGTGGCAGAGGCAGCAGGGAGGGAGGTGGATCTGCTGCTAAAGCAATGATGTATTGCTTTAAAAATATTAATAAAGGCAAAACAAAAAGCCTGCCCCTTCCCCAGGGTAGGGGGAACAGTGCTGGGTCTCTGTCTTGGGAGCTGCTGGTTTCAGGGGTAACATCCCCCACACTGCTCCCAGCTGAGCGTCCCGGGGTGTGGGCAGGGAGGTGTCCGATATGCGAGAAGCAGGATAAAGGCACTGGCCTGGTCCTGTGACCGAAGGGCAGCAGCCTTAGCCTCCACCGGTGGGAGGGAAGGTGCAATCCGAGCCCCAGTGTCCTTTGAGAGTGACCTGCCCAGGCGTCCCGGGGATGGCCGCGCTGCCCTCCCCTGTCCTTGCGGGGCATCAAGGCTCACGGCAGCAACCCCCTCTCTTGGCCTTCATGTTCGTGTGAGAGGAAGGGCCAGAGCTGGGGCAAAGGTGGCCCCGGCAGCGAGTAGGTGTTGGGAAGCACAGAGGGGTTACTGCGCTCCTTTCTGGCCCAGGAGCCGGGAACGGGGCTGGCTCCACGCCACCACCTTCGCTCCGGGACCCTTCCCAGAGTAAGCCGAAGCAAGGCCTCAGGAGCACCAATGCATCAGGGAATAGCCACTGTTAGCAACTCCAGCAAAACGTTCTCCCATGCCTGGCCACGGCTTAGCCCCCAGCCCTGGCTCTGAAAGCGCTGGCTTTCTCCCTCCTGCCTGGCCAAGCCAAGGGCGCACCATGCCCAGCTCTGGACCAGCAGCAAGGGGCCCCACGGTGGCCACCCGCTCCTGTCCTCTTCTGCCAGAAACACTGGCACTGCATGGCTGGAAAAAGTTGCTTTTATTTTATTTCCTCTGAGCAGCCACCCACACTGTGCCCGCGAGGACAGACAGGATCAGCCAGCACGGGAGGACAACGGGCTCTCGCTGACCGTCTCAAAATCATATTAGCACTGGGACCACCCCAGGACCTTCTCCTTGAGAGGGGAAAGCTTTTAAAGGCTCCCGGGCTTATGGCTTCAGGCGTTCCCTTTTGGAGGAGCAGTGAGCGGCCGCCGGGGCCCTCGCAGCATTCCCTGTCTCTATAGAAACAGCACACTCGGAGCACAATTCATGAGGTGGTTATTGAAGAAAATTCAGCAATTATAAAACACAGATTATCCTTTATACTTCTGCCCATCACCCACAGCACAGGGGACCTGTGGTGTTGCAGTCACGTTCCCTCCCTCAGACGAAAGCTGGGAAAGTGCCCCTGATTTGGGGCACAGGCGATGCCCTCCTACCGCGGTCTGCATTTAAACCCCAGCAGGGCAGAAATAGGCAGGGCTGGTTAACTGCTAAACTGAGGGTATTTTAGTAAATTAGAGTCACTCCTGCAGAACTGGAAAGCTTCGGTCTGCTGTGCATCACAGCGTGCTCCCCAAAATGGATGCCTTGGTTTGAAGAGTGCTGAGGAGCGAGCAAGGAGAGGAGGCAGGTCCCAGGGACAGCGCTGGCCAAAGAGCCCTCCGGGGGCCTTGGGAAACATGGATTGCAAAATAAACAAATAACTTGTGAGTGATTACAGTAATATTGCCATAGGACTATCCCCCAGGCTTTATTAGCAGCTCCTTAATTGGGACCTTCCTGAACTAATTAGTTCAAAGAAGCAGCCAGGGGCCAGACCAGGTTGAAAAGGGGCTGTATCTAATTCACTCCCGAATGGGTGGCCCACCCTCTCTTGTGGCTCTGAACAATTTAAGCAGTTGCTCAGCATCCTCCTCAGTGAACTGAGTATTACTAATTTACAGGTACTGCTATTTTAATTTTAATAATGTGCTCTTTGCAGTATTGTACCACAGAGTGAAAGTCAAGCTCTAACAACCTGCTCTGGTTGCAGGCAGGTGCTGGGTGCCCTCATGGTCTTTTCCTCCCTTTTTTAGGGAACTGCTCATGTTTTGTGGGTTACTCTCTAATGTGGCCCTGGGACAGGCTGACTCCTGGGACACCGGCCAGGATCACAGGGGAGAGGCTCTCCCAAAGAGCCATCAGCACGGCCACGTTCTCCTCTGGCACAGGCTGGCATGGACGCCTGATTTCTCCCCTGAAAGCACCTATTCCACCACCAAAATTCAGAGACAAGGTAAGAAGGCAACCTGACTGGAGCTTAAACTGATAATTTTGGTAAGTTATTTTAAGTTATTTAAACTTCTGTGTTTTGCAGGCATAAATAGCCGTTGCTGAGGATCCATCCATGCACTCCATAGAGGCAATTACTCTGTGGCCTCTATCACCAATACTGTGTTGAGACCAGCCAGATTCAGGTAAACCTGGTAGACGTGGTCTCTCCTACACTGGAAGTCTCTGAATGCTGTGTACTTCAGCCAACTCGTGGTTCTCCCAGCCCATAAACCCCACTCACCCCTCTCTTACCAGCCCTTCCCCAAGCCGCTGCCTCCTCCATCCCCATCTCTGTGCTGCTCACAAATTCATCCCCCTCCCCGGGAGTGTGTGGCAGTGCCAGGTCCCCCCTCTCCTGCCAGGGGACTACTTTGCTGTGTAATCAAAGAAAGCAGATGGCATTTTATCAGGTCAGCAAGCACTGGAAGGGCTTTAATTAAGAAACTAACAGGTTAGATTAAATTGAGGAGCGGCTTCAATGCGGTAAATTATTTAGGAGTAATAGAGTCTCTATTTGGTGGTATACTTATAAACTCGCAGCCTACATTCACACTGTTGGGACTAAATAAATGCTGAGGGTAAAATACAGCTTCAGACTTTATGAGCAGGCTGGGGTGTTGCAGGGTACAAGGTAATCCAGGCTCAAGCTTGAAGGGGGCTCTTTGATTTCTTATAAGGAATTAAGGTTTTTATTCAGACCCTGGATATCCGGAGGAAGTTACAGTGATGAGTTACTTTTAACTCCTTTCTGCTGGTGATTTATTTCCTGACAGCACGCAGCTGCCTGTCCTCTCAACCAACATCTCCTTAGCAAACTGAGTGCTGACCTTATGCCTCCACTTCCACCTAAAACTCTCTCAAATCCTCCTAACGTGTCAGAATATGTGCCAGGAGAAGGAGCAGGAACTCATTCCTCATCTACAGAGTTTAATGCTCTGGTGCATTTGCTGGAGATCTCGTGGTGCCGGGGGGATTTATCTGCCAATTACTTCTCAAGAAATAATAAAGGGTCACGCAGTACTTGGCAGATAAGGGCAGAAAGGGGAGAAGAGAACTGGGTTTTAATTGAATCCCAAGTATGTTGAACAAAATATTTCAGATCCATCAATTAGCTGTTGGCCCGGGGTTGAAATTTAATTAAGAGAATAGTGCTTTTAGGGTGCCTCTGTTTGGGGGGGAAAAAAGCACTAAGGGGAACAGTGAAGACTGGCAATGTGATGGGGAGGCAGAAAAGATCCCGCTGGAGATGCTTCAGAGTTGAGCTGCTACTTGGGTTTGCAGAAATCAAGGCCGTCTGTCAAATTGCACATCCCATGCCTGAGAAATGCCTTAGGTCAGGATGCAGGTGGGTTTCCAAGCTCGGACAGTAAATCCTCTTCCCACGTGGCCTCAGGGCAAAGCTGGCTTTCCTGCTGCTCTCTGCACCCGCAACTGGGGATGCAGGACAGCCCAGCCCTGAGGAGATGCTGCCTGTGCTTGATGTGCTGGGGAGGCACCATCCTCCATAGCCCCCCAGCCCCCCAGCACCAAGGGCAGCTGGGCTCTGCTTTGCTGCCGTGATCTAGTTACCGTACCAAAGCAAACGGCACAGGGGTGCAGAGTCCCAGTCCCGGCTCCTCCTCCTCTCCAACCCCACTGTGCTTACAGGGTGTTACCAGTTTATTGCACCGCTAAGAAAGGTTAACTTGCTCCTCTCCTCCTTCCTTGCCATCCCC